AATTGTAAATGGGCTGATCTAACAATGTCACGCTTCTGACTGTGCCTGAACTACAACAGGGAGCTTTGATAGTCAAAGCAGACTTTGTGCTGCTGAAACTAGAGAGGTGAACAGAGTATGTCTGATTTCCTGTAAAGACTTCTCTGTTGACATCCGCCCCTTGGTGCTCATATGACCTTTTGCAGTTGCGAGCGTCGTAAAACTTCTACTAAAATTAAAATTTGCTTTTCATGATTCTTTAGAGGGACAAACAACAAAAACTAGTTTTTTTTTGTCACTGACCTAAAAAGTACCCTGAAGGCTTTAAATATGGAACGCTTGTGGCATTGATGGAATGTACTCTTATTTTACATTCGTGATGCACAAAAATCATAACTGCCTAATTCGTTCACACAAGCATACTTACCGAAACAGTTACACAGTGTTTCAGGGGACTCTTTGGGAAGAATTTTATACCTCCCCCTCTCTCTCTCTTCTCTCTCTCTCTCTCTCTCTCTCTCTCTCTCTCTCTCTCTCTCTCTCTCTTTCTCTCTCTCTCTCTCTCACACACACACACACACAAACACATATCCAGTCTTCTTTCTTGCCTTTTCCATGTGCCTCAGGCACACATACTCAAAGCATAAAATCTCTTACAAAAGATCATATTTTATAAAATATATTTCAAGTTCTATATTGTGTTACAGCTTAATAGAATTTCCCAAGTAGTCCTGTTTCTATGCTTTTCAGTTCCAAGTTATTTATAATGTCTTTCCTTATGACCCATCATTATCATCTGGTGCCTTGCCAACTGTATTGGGCGATCATGGACCTCCACTTCACTCTGTCTTGTGTTGCAGCGATGGTGTCTGTTGTTTGTGCTGTCCCCAGCCATAGTGTCAACCTGTCCAGTATCTTTTCCCTCTGTCTGCTCTGCCTCTCTTTCCATCAAACTTGCCTGCTGTTACATTATTCTCCAATGATTCTTTCCGCATTGTGTGTTCAATGAATTTTGTCTGTCTCCTCCATATGTTCATCATAAGCTGTTGTCTGCAATTTTGCTTCAACTAGGTAGCATAAACACGGCCTCGCGGGCACTCGCGACCTTTGGACCGCGTGGTATCGGTGAAATCGGGGTAATTCCGATCGCAGTTTCTTTGATCTTTCACTACAAAACACTTAATGCCATACATTTTGTAAAAATTCAGCTTTTCCTCGTTACAATGGTGTAAGTTGTTTTTATTGTCCGATTATTAGGAGCTGGAGAATCGCCGAGGAAAGTGAAGCCCCTTGCGGTCGGAATGCATGGTTGGCCGGTTAAAAAATTGGCATGAGTGCATTCAAATCCTTTGCGGAACAGGGGGATGATTAACCCTTTCCCCACCGGCTGGGTGTAATACACCCACCTGACCACTTTGTAAGGACATAACTCCGAAAGCGTTCAATCCACTCTCTTGTGCTTCCATGTAATACTCAAATGTGGTGTATTTAACGCTGTAATCTATCAGAAATGTTCATATGATAAATGTGTGACAGATGACTACGGGTCAAAAATTTTTATGTCGATTCCTACCAGGTGGGTGTTGTCCACCCGTACACTTTTTTGTAAGGAAATACTGGCTGGGTGGTTCTCACCCGTACACTTTCTAGAGACTTTCTAGAGAGAAGGATCAGGCAGGTTATTGTGTGAAACAATCTCAACTAACAAGTGTCAAACATGTAATGTGAAAAAGGTTAAAGAGGCATGAAATAAATGGAAAGAACTTTAAATTTTCAACAGAAACTTGAAACATGAACAGAAATAAGGAGACAGGCTGATGTCAAGGTGCAAGCGGTGTGATTGCTACGCCACTTGTTGTTCTTGCACCAGCAAATAGAATGAAAGATTCAAAAGGAAATGGTGTTATTCAAAACAAAGAAAAACTAAGTGGTCTTTACAAATGTGACAATCACACTTCTGGCATAGAGACTTTGTCTTCCGATCCTTTTTGGCCAGGAACGGTACACGTCTCTTTTGCTTTTGAGACCAAGGAGACTCGTCATTTGGCTTGGGCCTCTTCCTTTGACTTTGGATTAGAACAGACGATACTTGAGTGGGTCTCAGAGTCGGAGACTGAAGCATTGTCTCAGAGTTTTGTTTCATTGGTAGATTGGGTGTAGTCTATAACAGTTGAGCGCCGTATGATCTGCTGGACAACCAGTTGTCTTGCCACAGCCATGTTGTACAGCTGCCTATTGTCTACGAGTGAAAGTGTATCATTGGGTGGCTTGGCTTGCCAAATGACACGTGAGGCAATGGAACTGAGGTCGATGATGTTGAAAAAGACCTCAAGGGGCCATCTGTTTGTCTTACGTTTCACAGCAAAAGCATGTGGCCATGTGGTCCATTGCATCCACCCCACCTTTGGTTCTGTTATAATTACAGTCGAACCTGTGTAAGACGGCCACCCATTGTCAAGGAGAAAAATGGCCGTATACGACAGGTGGCCGTCTTAGGCAGGACTGATCAAGATGAAGAAAACAAACCAATCTTTTCTGAGGTCCCACCCGAAGGTAGCCGCATTGTTGTTGTTGTTGTCGTTATGTTGTTCTATGTTGTTGTTGTTGTTGTTTTCGCTTGGTTTTTTCTTCTCTTTTTTTCTTTTGTTGCTGCTTTTGTACAAGGGTGACAATAAAACGAAATGTGTGAGACAAGGAGGACCGGGTGCTATGGTAAAACAAACACACGTGTCGCTACCGTTCGGAGAGCGAGCGACGATTCTGTCACAAGTTCAGGTTGACGTCCTTTGTTACAGACTGGGTAAACAGTGACCACTCATCTCACTTACGATTTGTGTGTAAGAATTCTGGGCGGGGCTTATGGGATATGAGGGATCACACGCTTACCTCACCAGCTGCTGAAAATTAATTTTGTTACCTATTGGTCAACAGTGGGAGGGGCCTACCCAACATGATCGGTTGGAGGGACTACCTAACAACAACGACAGGTGATTAGATTATGACGGCTCGCCAACAACGCAAGAGCCCAATGCTTGATTTATGACAAAACGTAATGGAGTCACTAAGGTGGCCGTCTTAGACAGGTGTATTTGCTTTGTGTGATAGGGGTTGTGTGTTAAAATATGGTGGCCGCGGCCGCGTTGGACAGGTGCCCGTTTTACACAGTTAAATTATATAGAAAAAACACAAGGGGGGAAATGGAAAGTGGCCGTTTGTACAGGTGGCCGTCTTATAGAGGTGGCCGTCAGGGCAGGTTCGACTGTATAAATCAGGACAATTTCAGGCTTTCCATTGTACCAAGATCTTCCAGGAGCAGAGTGCTTTGTACTGAGGAGAAGGACATTTTTTGTTTCTTGCTTTGATAGGTGACCAGAGATGCATTCTTTCGAAATACAAATGCTGACTCCGAAAAAGCCAAGTTCTCTTTTGCCTGGAAGTTCACAGGGAGAAATGTTTTGTTCCTCCTAACTGTGCCCACCATAGTAATGTTGTCTTTTTCCAGAACTTCAGCCAAGTCAAGACTGGTAAAAAAGATCAGAAGTTATATTTCTGCCACTGCCTTTGAAGTTTTGAGTCAGCTTTAGATTACAGTTGGAACCAACGGCACTGTTGTTCTCTGTGACTGGTCTTGGTCCTGTTTGCCCTTTGCCCAAAGAGGGGAAGCCTCTAAGTGGGTACAGTAGCTGCTTTCAAGGCACACATCTAGAAGATTTTAATTCCATATTTTTCTGGTTTGTTTGGGATGTACTGGATGAAAGTGGCAGTGCTTAGCTAGGTTGGTGTGGCAGAAATCCCAAACATCGCCGATGGGAGCAAACTTGTCCCTGGTTCATTGTTGTATCCTGATTATTTGTCATCAAATCTGATATTATGATTCAGCAGGTGACTGACCGTTTATTAAGAAAACTGCTCCAGAATGTTGACACTAGGCCTAACCAGTCAGCCTGCTCGTGTCTCAAAAAGTACTTGGAATCACTGTCAGTCACTCTTCCTTCGGCACTTGCATAGCTAATAGAAAGTAATAAAATATATATATAATATTATATACAAGAAAATGCCAGTGGGTGGCTGATGAGTGCTCTGGTGAAGTTTGCTCCTTCTTTCCAATGAAACATTTGCCGTCTTTACCTCTCCTTTTCTTTTGAATGTATTACTCTTTTCTGACACCTCTAATTTTTGACACTTATGACCTAATTGTGTTGCAATTGCTGTAAAACGCCTTCTAAAACGAAAAATAATGCCGAATGCATTTGTCTGCACCACCCTGCATATTAAAGTATACAGGTTTGAACCACCCAGCCAGTATTTCCCTATAAAACCGTACGGGTGTAAACCACCCAGCCAGTATTTCCTTATTTAAAAGTGTACGGGTGTGATCCACCCAGCCGGTAGGAATGAGGTATGAAATATGCTGGTGGGGAAAGGGGTAAATACCGTCTTTTCTTGAGAACTATAGAGCTTTAAACGGGCTTTCCCGTGGTATATATTTGGCCTTTGGCATTTAAATAGAAAGCCTTTAAAAATACAGTCAAAAATTTAAAAGAATAATTTTTTTACACGAAATAGGTCTACATAAAATACAGGCTCAAAAAACGCATCAATTAAAAGATTACTTAATTTCCTATTAGAATAAAGTAATTAGCGTAGAACTATTTTGCCTCAATCCTTCCGCGAGACTCGGAAAGCATGTGACCCCGCACGCGGGGTGCACTACAGTATAGAGTGGACTCGCTCACCGCGGGGGCTGGTGCGGCACCGGCTTTGGTCAACGCTCCGTGTTTTTGTCCAAATAACAGCAGATCGTCATGTTTGAGGCGATAAAATACAGATTTGTAATGATCTCACAGTCTTGAAGAAAATTAGGTTCCATATATTTGTTATAGTGATTGTACTCTGTTAATGTGAAGATGTTTAGTGCACTTGGTATTCTTTTATTATCTGTCAAACATGGAGTTGCAGCCAGTGCTGACTTAAACAAATTTGATCAAATTTTAAACAACTACCATTTTTTAAATAATTGGCTGAGATGTTAAAGAATGGTACCAAAATGCTCAGTGGATATAGGCCTTTCAAATGGAACAGATAAAATTGGCATACAGACACTTTGAAAATTTAGTTTCTGGTACCTACTTCAACCAAGACTTCGTCATTTGTTTTGCTAGCTGTCCTTGGGACATACAGCATATTATGAGTTTTATGAATCTCAACTCTGTTGCCTCAATTGAGCTTTTTATGACCCATAGCACCCTTAAAAATAAAGTTTTAAGCTTTTGAATAATGGACATAAAAATGGGTACTCCCAATGACCCACCAAAAACCTGTCTGCCATTCTCAATCATCCAGAGTGTAATGTTTAAGTGTCAGTGGTTTGCATCTCTCGTTTAATACATTTTCACTTGAGACATACCTTCCCCCTTCCTACTTACACAATTAATCCTACAGATTAGATTCCAAGTGTTGTGCATTTCTCCATGTCTACCTGACTAAAGGGGGTCTCTGAAATTAAAATTGAATTTTTCTGTTCTTTGAAATTCTTTCTGAAGTCTATGTTCAAGACATTTAATTACTTCTCAGTGATATATGGCCAGGTTTTATTTCACATTATTTAGTGATAAAACACAGATTGTTGTTATGAGCCTCTTGGTTTACAAAGAGAGCTTTTTGTCCCGAAATGAGTTTTGTGTGTCAGTCTTGCCATTTTTGCCATGACTTTTAAATATTTTATATTTTTGTACTTTCAGAACAAAATGGCTTTGCCTACCATGAGTGGATACTGGTCATCCAGAAAGAACATGTATGAGCAGGCTATTGTGCGACACAGAAATCATGAAGATGACTTTCGCAGCCAGTGGCAAAACACAGCCAAATATTTCAAAACTTCAGATGTCCGAGCAGCAAAACAGCAGGCCTGGTCTTCTACTGATGCTTTTCAAAATAAATGGTTAGTAAAGTTTCGGATTTGGAAAGGAGTCAGAAGAAAGTGAGATGTTGGTGACAGTGCAGATGGATGGAATGGGTCTGTTCTGTGAGCTACTCTGAATGATGTTCAGCAATTGCCTTTGTTCACCTTATTAATTCTAACATGTGTATGTTTATTGACTAAGTAATATTTGTACACTGTGCCTTGTGAGCTAACCTTTGCATAATTTTTGTCATCAGATTTATTTTAGCAAACTCAGAGGCATAAATCACATTGGCTTATTTTAACTAATAACATAGATATTTTTGAAGCACTATAAAAGATGATCACGGTAACTAATAAGTTGGACTGAGAGTGTCTTTAAAATTTGGGTGATATATGTCATGAGTTTTACTGCATGTATATTTTTATAGGCTGATGTTTGACTAGGTGCTGACCTGCTGGTGAATAGATGTTTGTGAAGCAATGGGCATTTACTCCTCCTACCCAGCATGCCATGTGGTGATGGAGAAATGATCTGTTGCAATACCTTTTACGAGGCAATGAATGATACCTGTTGCAAGTCACTACAAAGTGTTTAGCTTGTTATTGCTATGTTCTTTTACTTTTTACCACTAAAGATTTTTCATATCGTCACTGTGGTAACAAAATGGCACATCTCATTTTTGCTACTTTTACTTAAGATAAAAGGAAAAAAGCTGTTATAACTGGTCTATTTGTCATCAAATAATGGTAAATCTTGCCATGCATGTTTCTTTTGTGACTGCCAGCTCATTTTTGTTTTGATTTTAACAAGAGATATTATCACCAAACAAAAGGCTAAGAACTGCATTTGCTAGCACAGTGATGACATGATAAATATAATATATTCAAAAGATGTAATAAGATAGGCCCTACAGTGAATGTATTTTATCATCTTTATTTCTTCAGCACTGATGCTTATCAGGCATCTGTTGACAAAGATGTAAAAGCCTCGAATTTGAAAAGACGAAGAGACAAGCTGGCAAACCTGATTAAAGAGGAATCAAAATCATATGAGGTTGGTAACTGCGGAGTATTTTATCTGCCAAGTTTTTAGGGCAAAGTCATATTATATTATCTCAAATTGTTTCGTCAATGTATATAAATAGTGTTGCCTTCCTTTCCATCTTTCTGTCCTTCTGAGAAATTATCTTGTGATTTCTCACTGCTGTAATGAAACTCTGCCTTTGTAAATGTACTTCTTTTTACCTGGTGTGAAACTGTTTCTGCTAATAACCCCTCTCATTTCTTGAGCTTGAGCTTATGAGTTTTTGTGGAAAAAAAATTCCTTTTTTGAATTTGTCTTACCCAGGCAGAACTTCGAGGTTTGTCCAAACCCAACTTTGAGAGACTGGAGGAAATGAGGACAAAGGCAGATGGACTGAAGAGTGCTAGGGAGGAGAAGAGGCAGAAGGTGCGAGTATAATGCTGTCTTTTTTTTTTTTTCTTTTTCAGTTTGATTCTCCTGCAACCATCGTGCATGAACACTTCCTTATTTGGTGTGATATTCTGTGCCGAAGCCTGATTTGTTGACATAACTTGTTCTTTGCCTGAGTCCCCCTCTGGGTACAGAATATATCTCTGAGAATTTCCTCCTTATCTGAGTAAGCTCGGTGCTGGTTTCAGTGGAGTTAAAATCTTGAGACAAAATAAATCTGTGGCGTCCATCCATTCACGATTACAGGAGTTAACCTGTTAGTTGGGCGCAAGAGGCTATCACCTTACCTCCTGACTGATTAAGGAAAGAGAGTGATGCCAAGAGAGAGATCGTGAGAGAGAGAGAGAGAGAGAGAGAGAGAGAAAGAGATTGTGATGTGCTGACACGATTCCATTAACATATGTTTTATTGTAAACATTTTTCCAATGAAGGATCAGTATAGACTAATTTTTCTTTCTCGTCTCATTTTATCTTTTTTTTTCTTTTCTATTTTATCTCTTTAAAAATAGTCATGTTAAGTATTTCTATTTTTCTGTTTTAAAATTTTTTCCACTGTGATTCCAGCTTGCAGAAGAGAAGTTGTATGAACACTGGAGACAGAACAATGCAGAGTTACGCAAAGCTGAGTCTCAACTTCTACAAGAACATGTCGTTGGAAACTGGGGGGACCAAAAGCAGGAGAAGGAGGAGGTAAATGCTCAATTTGTCAGGGTCTTTGGCTGTCTTGAGACAAAGACTATAGGCGACATGTCTTGAATACAAAGAGAAGGAGCAAAGATTTTTCTATAAGGACATTTATTTTAGAAATCAATTGGTTTTCATCAACGCTACCTGTGATATGTTATTGCATGAAATTTCCAAGGATGCTTTTATAAGGAGTGGTTTGTCCTGTATACATATATATATATAAATACCGTAAACACTGCAGGCAAGGCGACCGGCAACATTCTGAGCAGGTGTTTTTTGTGAAATCGGGGTTATTCATTTGGCTGTTTCTTTGACCTCTCATCATAACGAACCAAATACTGTACATCTTGAAAAAGTTCAGCTTTTCCTCTTTAAAGTGGTATGTGTTGTTTGGAGCTGGAGAGTTGTCGTGGATAGCGAAGTCCCTCGTAGTCTCCATAATCAACAGATATGCAAACTCGTTTGAGATACATTTTTTAAAAAGCTTCTTTTTTTAATTCTGTTTTTTGTGACAAAACATATTGTTAATTGGGGTCAAACAGTGCGTCTGGAACTATATTTTCTCATGGATTTACACTCAGGAAGTGTGTTAATCAGTGCCGCTTTTCCATGTCGCTACTTGATAATTCTATTTTCTGTTGGCAATCAGTACACCCAGTGAGACAGGATGAGAGCAAGATGTTACTCAATCTGATGTTACTGGTTGGATTTGTATGCATGGGAAAGTTTGGGCATTTCTTTGTTTTTTTAAATTTCAGTTATAATAAAACTAATAAATGGAAGGCACACTGTTTGACTGAGGTCTTTTGTGATACTATATTTGTAATTCAAAAGGCGGTGTATATTGTAATGTCTTGTGACTACCACAAACATCTCATAAAAACCTGTAATAATGTCACCTTTTCTTCCACAGAGGCTGGAATCAGTCAGGAGAGAAAACCTGGAATTTGATCGAGAAATGGAGAGGGAAAGGTTGGCTGCCGTTGAGATGGAAAGACAAAAAGAAGAGGAGAGACTGAGGGAGGAGAAGTCTGTGAAAGAAGTTCTGAAGGAACAAATGATGGAGTTCAAGGCCAGAGAAGTGGAGGTAGGGGAAATAGTTTCACGTTGATTCAGATTGCTGAGCAAGTAATATTTAAATATAATGAATCTCTGTGTTTTGCTTTGTGGTGTAGTTTGTAATGTAGGATACATCTCTCTAATAGTGGTCAAGGAGATACACTGGTTTTATACTTGCCCATCTTTGTAATGATAATTATTAATTGTTTTCATTCCAATAAAAATGCTATGGAATAGTTGACATGTTCTCTAGAACTAGAGAGTCCTGTCACTTGAGAGAGATATGTTTAGTCTGTCGGGGAACTTTTTATAACTAAACAATTTTTTTTAACAAGTGGCTGTCTTTTATCATAAGAAATGAGTTCATAAGTTGATATGAATATCCATCATATTATTAGCAGAAGTGTAGTTGTCTTTCGGTTTAGGGGACTGGAATATGCTTTTTATGGGAAGAAATATCTTGTCTCATGTCAGTGAGCAGGTGAGAGGAGCTTGTAAATTGGATTATAGTAGTAGGTAGCGTAAACACGGCCTCGCGGGCACTCACGGCCTTCCGACCGCGTGGTATCGGTAAAATCGGGGTAATTCCGATCGCTGTTTCTTTGCTCTTTCGCTATAAAACACCAAATGCCGTACACCTTGTAAAAGTTCAGCTTTTCCTCGTTACAATGGTGTAAGTTGTTTATATGTCCGATTATTAGGAGCTGGAAAATCGCCGACGAAAGCGAAGCCCCTCGCGTTCGGAATGCGAGGTCGGCCGGTTGAAAAATTGACACGCGTGCATTCAAATGCTTCGCGGAACGAGGGATGATTAAATACCGTCTTTTCATTGGCGGAGAACTGTAAAGCTTTAAACGTGCTTTCCCGTGATATAAGTTTAGCCTTTGGCGTCTTTATAGAAAGCTTTTAAAAATACCTTCAAAATGTTTAAAGATCCCTTTTTACACAAAATATGTATTATACCGACTTATAACAGGTATTAATTAAAAGATCAGTTCATTTTCTATTAGAATAAAGTAATTAACTTGAAATTATTTTTCATCAATCCTTCCGCAAGACTCGGAAAGCATGTGACCCCCGCACACGGGGTACACTACAGTATAGAGCTGACTCGCTCGCCGCGGGGGCCGGTGCTGCGCCGCCGGGTCAACGCTCGGTGTTCTTGTCGAAATAACGACAGATCATCGTGTTTGAGTCGATAAAATACTGATTTATAAAGATCTCACAGTCTTGAAAAAAATTAGGCTCCATATATTTGTTATAGTGATTGTACTCTGTTAATGTGGAGATGTTTAGTGCACTTGGTAGTTTTTTATTGTCTGTCAAACATGGGGTTGCAGCCAGTGTAAGTGACTTTAACAAATTTGATCAAATTTTAAACAACTACAATTTTCTTAAAAATTGACGGAGATGTTAAAGAATGGTACCAAAATGCTCAGTGCATATAGGCCTTTCAAATGGAACAGATAAAATTGGCATACAGCTAGTTTGAAAATTTAGTTTCTGGTACCTAATACTAGACAGATTGTTGGGATTTTTGTGTGTCTCAGTTAATGGTCTGTTCTTAGAGTGTTGTGTTGACAGTCAAAGTTACATCTGGTTGATTATTTAACAATGTGCAGGAAGGTAAATTGATTTTGTTTCCTTTTTAATATAGTCTTAGTCTTAGGCCTCTCTCTTGTCATCACAACACTGGGCCAGCCACTACAGCTGTCCCGAGGGATGACTGGTTATCTTTGCCTAAACCACTATAACGTAGCACCAGTTGTTGCTTGGCCTTCCTCTTTTTCTTTCTCCATATGGATTATTACTCGACAGTATCTTGTCGATTCTGTTAATTAATCTTTTTCAGGGTGCTTCGCTAGTTTGATAGTTGGTATCATGCTGGACTACAGAGCAGATGACCCTGGTTTGAATCCCTGGCCGGATGTTCTTGAGCTTGGGTCATTTTTGTGGAGTTTCAAAGCTCTCAGCCCATTTGGCTAGGTCGTATCACAGATGGACGTTAAATTCGGAGGTCCTGCCTCTTAAATAGCATAGTAGTGTTGATACGGGCGTTAGACACACACACTTACTAATCTCTCTCTTTTCTAAGAGTGAATGGCCATAATCACGTTGATGCAGCCTTTCTGTATTCAATTAATGTTATGTTGTTACGCCATAGTTATTATTTTGTATATATCATTGTAAAGCCAGTCTCTTGACTCTGTCGATAAAGCGGCATAAAAAACCCAACAAATTGTGTTGTCGTAGGCTGCAGAGTGGAAGAAAGAACAGGAGAAACTTCTGCAGCAGAGATGGGAGCTGGAGAGGATCGAGGAGAACCAGCGCATGCGGGAAGAGGAGCGCAAGAGGAAAGACCTGGGGTAGGCACTGAGTGTAGCTACTTCTCGGGTTTTTTGTACTGATAGCATCGTCCCTTTTAGTGATTTTATTTTAGATATTTTTTTGGGTCACTTTCTATCTTTGTTAATCAGGGATATTTGATGGTTCTCTTGTGTGTGTGTGTGGGGGGGGGGGGGGGATAAGAAAAAAAAGTTATGCTACTTGTTTCTTGTGGGAAAACCTGGTTCTCAATAGTTTGTACAATTCGTGTATATAAGCAATTTAGAACTTACATTATATTCACATTTATACAATATCTATCATGATACAAACAATATGAACAAATCTTTGCTGGTCCCTACAATACATTCCTTTTTATTCTTTTTATCTGGAATGATTACAGACTAGTAAAATCAAGCCATGCTGTGAACTAATGTAAAAACAAACTAACTTGAGTGCCGCTTACTCATATGATTTTATGCAGCTGCAAGCTCCATGAAACTCTTTCCAAATTGAAAACAAAAGGACTGCAAGTGATCATCTGCCCTATTTACATTAACAGAGCAAATGACTGAGGTTGTTCAAAGTATTCTATAAAAAAAGATGTTCAATTTGCTCTTTAGGGAGTCTGTTCTCTTTGTTGATAGTTTAAACAAAGTTAAGGTGTGTTTGTCAGTTTTTCTTATAATTTTATGTTGATGTTCGGTTCTTTGTTAGTGTATCTTATACAAATAGCATTTGTGTACTTTATTGCAACTACTATGGCTTCTCTGAATTTGTCTTACAGGAGAGCTCTCCTGCGACAACACAAAGCTCAGATGATGAGGAAGTCGCGAGTCATTCAGGAAGAACTGGTACAATTATTATTTGTTTCTTCTTTTTTTCTTTCTTGTTATTCTTCCCCTCCTTGTTCTTCTCTTCTTCCTCTGCCTCCTCCATCATTGTTGCATTTCTTCTTCTTCTCCATCATTGTTATATTTTCTTTTCGTCCTTATCCTCTTCTTCTTTTTGGTCCATTCCAGCAGAAATGGTCAGCAGTGTGGGTAAAGATTGAGACAAACATTGGGAGAAAAACACTAGATTTACTTGGGGGTTTTTTTCTTTAAGGAGCAGTCAAAGCTCATTAATTGAAAGATATGGAGCAACAATATACATTTGATTTACTGTCAAAGACTTGACAAAGGCCACTAAGACATGTGGCTTCAAATGAACGCAAAGCATACATTTAAATACAAAGCAGAAAAAACATATCAAGTAGTCACGATTTATAGCCATGATATCCGTTTCCTGAACACAGTACTAGAAGTCGAAGAAAACAAGTGGGTGGTTGGTGGGTGCTCTGGTGTGGTTTGCTCCTTCTATCCTATCAAGCATCTATCATCCTTATTTCTCCTTCTTTTTTGTGTTTGTTACTCTCTTGTAACACCTTTAATTTTCAGCATTTGTATGACCTAATTGTGTTGCAAGTGCCGTAATACTTATTCTAAAACTATGGGATAAAGTAAAAATATGATTTGTCCACTTGTTTTACACGAAGAGTTTATTTTGTTGGAGCCTGGGCCCACATCATCCGCCTTATAGATTACAACTGCCAGATCCATAATCGTGAGATTGCGGGTTTGGGGTTTCGAGCATCAGCACAGTCCGATATTATGTCCTTGGAAAAGGCACTTGACACAAATTTCCCATTTAGCTGGGTTCTTTCGGAGGTGGATGTTAACTCGGAGGTCTTACCTCTTAAATAGTGTTGATAGGGAGTTAAACTTACACTATTTTTCACGGATTACAAAGAAAAGACTGTCACCAGTGTCTCTGATGCAGTGGTTACGCAATTCTCTGTTGCACACAAGACCAGAGTTTGAAACTTATATGGAGTGTCTCTGAAAAGTTTGTCAGCATAGGAGTAGGAGAAAAAAGTAATTAAAAAACTTTATAGCTGTACTCTTATAACAATACATTGTTAAAGATGCTGGACACATGTCAGGCATTAAAAACTGTGGAACAGTTTGTCAGTTTCGCACTTGTGATATGTACCATCAACAATGTTAAACTGTTTTAATTTTTGTCCCTTTTTTCATTCTTTTTGTCTAACATTGTTCTTGCTTGGGCTCTGTTTGATATTCTCAACTTTATTTACTTTTTATCAGGAACAAGATCGGAAATTGCTCGAGTCGCTCATAGAGAGAGAAAGTGAACACGTTGCTCTTCAGTCTGCACGGAAAGAGAAAGCTAGGGCAGATGCCCAATGGATGAAACAGGTAAAACCATCTGGAGAAATGAAATGTTTTGAAGGGTCTAATTTTTGTACAGATAAATGGAAGAAAATGTGCCCCCTTGACTCTATATAATGAAACAAACAAAACATACTTTACTACTGAAAAGTACTGTTAGATCTGGGAAACAGATATTACCTTGAAGTGAATATCATAAAAAGTAATTTTACATTATGTGACTGAATTTTGTCAGTCTTTCTTTCTTTCTATTCTGATCCAGCGACCATCTGAGTTCTAGCCCTTCAGGCTGTCAATATGGCTAAGAGTTTTATTTTGTCAGTCTCCAATAAAAAATTTGGGAATTTTTTTCCTCATGGCCTCACTTTTGTTCTGGTGTAGGTGCTGGATGAACAGTTGAGAGTGGAGAAAGCGCGGGAAGCCGAACTGGACATGTTGTATCAGTGAGTTGATTTGTCTTACACTTTGGTTTTGTTATGCTCCTTTTTTGGGGGGTTAGGTTGTTTCGGAAATGGAGCGCTTTGTTACTGTACTGTACGTGTGCATGTGTGGGTATGACTGTGTGTGTGCGTGTGTGTGTGATTGTGTGTGTGTGTGCCTGTGTGTGTGTGTGTTTGTGTGTGTGTGTGTGTGTACGTGTGTTTGTGAAACACCAAACTAATGTGCCAGGATATGGACAACAAAGGTTGATCTAAACTGATCTGATCTTTTCCGGTTCAACTTTCTTTTTTGTGTAAAAGACTGGTACGTTACTGATTATGAAGAGGAGTACCTTTCAGTAATTGTGTGATTTTGAATAAGTTTTGCTTGATGTTTTCTCAGGGACGAAGCAGCTCGCATGTGGCAGAAAAGGGAAAGTGAGTGGGAGAGGGAAAGGCAGGCCCGCCAGCGACTGATGGCTGAGGTAATGTAGGGAATTTAATGTCAAGTGAATTTGAATTGGGGGAGGGGGAGTAGGCATATATTTGAACTGATTTCTAAAATGATTTAATCTTGAATTTTTCAGCTTAAGTCTGAAATGATTTCATCCTGCCTGATTATTTTTTTTGTTTGGCTTATCTCATCTTATTTCATGTTTTTTTCTAGTTGTCCCGTCATATCTCAGTTTATTTTTAAATGTGTCTTATCGCACCTCAATTTATTCCAACTCATATCACTGTGTAATCTAAACTGTTCTCTTTACCTGTCTGTTTATGTAGGCCTAGGTCTTTACTGAGCTCATGGGTGGCTGGCAGGTGCTCTAGTGTGTTCTGCTCCTTCTTTCTTATCAAGCATCTTATCGTCCTTATCTCACCTCCTCCTTTTTTGTGTTTGTTACTCTCTTTTATCACATCTAATCTTCGCCACTTATATGACCTTATTGTGTTTCTAGTTCAGTAAAACACTTACTAAAACTAAAAAAGTGATCATATGTAAGTATCAACTTTACTGGTCATGTCTTGTCTAACATTCTAACATTGACTCCCCCCCCCCCCCCCAGGGAAGTGCTACTGACTGAAGTTGTCTTTAGACCATTCTCAAAGTGTGGATGTCAACTTGTTCTTCACAGTAGAATTGCAAATTTATCAATTTCATTCTCATACTGAGCCGGAACAAGAACAACATAGGGGGAACTGCTGCTTTTTCTTTCCTCATTCTTACTATCGTCATATTTTTCCTCTACTTCTTTTGTTTGTTTGTCACTCTCTTGTGAACTGCTATTTCCGGGGTGCCTTGATAGTCGAAGCAGACTTTGGCCTGTTGAAGACTTCTCTGTTGACATCCACCCATTGGCGCTCATATGACCTTATGCAGTTGCGAACGCTGTAAAACCTTACTAAAACAAATTACCTTGACTGACCTCCATAGGTCCTCGAGTCTCGCCAGGAGCAGATCGGCGAGAAGCTGGAGGAGCTTCGCCACCAGCAGGAGGAGTCGCTGCAGCGTCGTGAGGAGCTGGTGCGCGAGATGGAGATAGCCCAGCAGATGACGCGCCGGGAGGAGGAGGAGAAGGAGCAGGACAAGATGATGACCCGAGCAGAGCTGGAGGAACAGGTAGGAAGGCAGGATTTTTTGTTTGTCGACTGTCTTAGGGGTTGTTCAAATATATTATAATCTTACACCCTTTTTGGGACTTTTTGCACCCCCCTCTCTTCTTACACTTTTCTTACATTTGTTAGGTACTCCAAACTGGCTGTGCGCCCCCGTGGCACTTAGTCACGGAGACCAAAACCCATATTTGTTCCCTCTTAAAACACCGTGTGATCATGCATACACACAGACACTTGATATATCAGAAGAAAGAGGAGCTTTTCCTCTTTTTAGTGGTATTATTTATTTGAGTCAATGATTCTTTTGAAAGCTAAATCTTGTGGGATAAAAGACAACACTATCGAGGTTTTCACTGCAGCGACAGCGCGTTTCGTGCATCGTTTTTTGACACTATGGCGAGCATGCGCACCAAGGCCTGTCTTTGTTTATTAGAGGCCTACTTCCACCCACTTTCAGTTTCATTTCTAGAGTGGCAAGAGTTCGTTGGCTTTTACTGATTTGATATCTAGATCTAAGATCTTTTCTAGATTACGTTCCAAGTGCATGATATCGTGTGATATTTCTTGGATATTGTTTATGTGTGCTCGTATTGAAATTTTGCAAAAGTTCAGCAAAAAAAAAATCATGTGGAGTTAGCGTCTCTGACTTAAATGTAGTTGTTATATTTTGAATGTGAAATGTTTTGGTGCCTTTTTCTTTAAAAGACTGAAATTGAAATCGATATGCCGACCCCTGCCTGCAGTAAAATTTATTTGTGCTCACAATGATGATGTATGGGTAAAAGGTCTTGAAGTCTGAATAAACTTCATTTCTCAGATTTACTCGAAGAGGGAAGAAGCAGCTCGTCTTCAGAGGCAGTTGGACTTGGAGCTGAAGGAAGAAAATAGAGAGGAACAGGATTACGAAGACCTGCTCAAACAAGAAACGCAACGAATGCGAATACATGGGTATACTCCGAGGGTGAGTGGCTGCTGTTGTTGTTGTTTTCAAATCCCTTTAGCTGCGAGCTTTTCGCTTTTGGCAGCGCAATGCCTCCCTCAAGTAACCACATGTCCTTGTCATCTGGTCAATGCCAGAGTAGAGCAGGCTTTGTAAGTCTGTAGGTGTGTGTAGAAGCCTTCGTCGAAGAACTGCCAGGTTTGGGCAGTGAAGGGGATGTTCAACGGTCTCCTCGTGGTAGTCACAGTGTCTGCAGGGGTGAGTGGCTATATAGAACAAAATAGAATAATGCTTATCTCTCTTTTTTAGGAATGGCCGTACAAATCATTCAAAAGAAGTGGGTGGTTCGCGGGTGCCTTGGTGTGGTTTGCTCCTTCTTTCCTATAAAAAAAAATCTATCGTCTCTATGGGGGATATGGGGCTGTAGGTGGGCTCCAAACAGGCAGTCAGTGGAGTGGCATTGTGATTGGCCAGTCCAGGGATGAGTGAGGTTGGGCAGGCGGCTGAGAGAGATGGTGCGGAGAGATGTGTTACGTGAGCCACTCCAAAAGCGTCGCCTAGAAACTATTTTGTCCAAAGTGCGCTTACTTACAAGGGGGGGTTCAAGAAGTCTTGGGTCTAAAAATATGAAGGAATAAAGATAGAGCTTTGTAACTTGGCCCACATACTTTTATTTCTCTACGTAGTCACCGTACACGGTAACACATTTTTGCACCTCTCTTTGACCTTCAAAAGTCCTTGAGAAGAAAATGACCCAGAATGGCCCCTAACCAGTCTTCCGCAGCTTCAATGGCGTCCGCGTTGTCATGGAAACGAAATCCTTTCAGTGGTTTTTTAAGATTAGGAAACAGAAAAAAGTCTGAAGGGTTAGGTCTGTTGAATAAGCTGGGTGTGGCAGGATTTCAAAGCCACCCTGTTCTGCTGTCTGGACTGTTGTGGCGTGTGCTTCCACGCCTTTTTCTCCCCAATTCGGATCTCAATTTTAACAGCAAACCCGAATAGTAGTCCCCTGTGACTGTTTTTCCATTTTTCAGGTTGTCAGTCGTGATGATACCTTCGCAGTCCAAGAAATACAACGGCATGACCTTTCCACTTGATGGTGTTACCTTTGCCTTGTTTGGTTAGGGAGAAGAAGGGGTTTTCCATTGCTTGGAGGACATTTTTTTGTTCTGGATAAAAATGATAAATCCATGTTTCATCCATAGTCACCATGTTTTTAAAAACATTTTTGTTATTGGACTCAGTTCAAAGGACAGTTTTGGCGGACTCAACCCTCTGCTTCTTTTGCACACCTGTCAAAAGGCGGGGTACCCACCACGCAGACACCTTATTCATGTTAGGATGGTCATGGAGAATCGTTTCAATAGACCCTACACTGATTCCCATTTCACTTGAGAGCTGTTTAATAGTTATGCGTCGGTCTTGTAAAACCAGTTTCTTCACTATGGATACATTCTCTTCAGTTTCCACAAAGGATGGGCGCCCTTCACGATCTTTTTCCTTCACTGATATGAATCCTGATTTGAATTTTCTTACCCAGCATGTCACAGTATTATAGTGAAGACATTTGTCACCATAAACTTGGACCATTTCCTGAAAAATGTCCCCAGGGGATTTTCCTTGCAAGTGTAGAAACTTGATAACTGAACGATATCAAAGATTGTACATAACAAGATGGTCCACTCAGCCGAAAAGGTGTCCGCCGGAAGTTCGCTCTTTGCTTCAGATGGCGCTGCAGTCTGTTTTTAAGCTCTCTTTCGTTTCTCCAGAAGAAGAATAGGAATAGCACCTCCTTGCATGCGCAGATCGACTGCTGTTCGTCGGCAGTTCGGGTTCTTTCAGTGCGGAGTTTTAGGTTTTTTCCATTTTAATGACCTCTCGCCTTTCATTCTAAAGTCAAATTAAACGAAGAAAACCATCACCCCTTCCTCCTGAAGAGGTTTTTTGTCTGCATAACCATTTTAAAAAAGTGTTCTTCCGAAATTTGAATTCTTATTTATTCAAAAACGTCTTAGTTTCACTTTGATTTTTTTACACACAAGTAGGGTAACTCTGTTCGCAAAGGGTGTTCATTTGCGAAGAGGGCGCCACTGAATTTTGAGGACACTTTTTTAATTGGCTCAAAGAGAGGAGTGGACCCTCTTGTTATGTAGACTCTTTGGCGATATTCAACAGGCTCCATGGCACAGCTTCAGCAAAGAAAAACCAAATGTTTTTGTACATAGTTTCATTTAACACACTGACTAGTGCTTTATTATTGTGGGATTTTCCCGAAAATTTGCGTGGTGTGTTCCAAAGAAATTGTCTAAAGGCTGGCAAAATTTCATTACTCTACCATGATTCCTTCATACCTAGACCAAAGACTTATTGAACCCCCCTCGTAAGTACACTTTGGACAAAATATTTCTGAGGCGACGATTGGCTTGTTCTACCATTAAACAAGAGAAAGTTACTCTACGTTTGTTCATGAATCATGCTGTGTCTGTGGCTGCCTGCATACAACAAATAATGATATGAGATTTTAAAAACACAAAACTGTGTTAATACATGGGTAAAGATGAACTTCTTGAATAAAAATAATGACAGCTGACACATTCTTTTTTAGTTTGACGTAGGCTAGGCCAAAAAGTAAAAGAAGAACAGAGCATTGAATTGCGATCGTTGATGCTCAGGCGTACGCACGCATACACTTCACCAGTCCTACAGTAGGCCTACCAGTAGGATAGACAGCACAAGCAACAGGACCAAGGAAAAGATGGCTTCCAACAAAGACAAAAGGAAATACTTCTAACGCAAATTAAAGGCGAGGATAATCGACGAAGTTGACAAGAAAGGGAAGACTAATCTGAAGCACAAATGTTATTGATATGGATCATGTGGATTTTAAGACATGTTTTGGTAACTCCCCTTTTCATTCTTAAAGTGGGAACTTGCCTACAGGGAGATATTTCTTCTGGAACCAAAAGTCCCGCTATGTCCTTGTTCTACTGTATACTTTCCATGAGCAAAACTAAGCCACAAAACCATTCTTCAAAATTTCTTGCATTGTCATCGACAACAGTTTTCATGACTCAATACAAATTATAAATCTCAACCCCTTCACACCACATATCAAAATTTAGGCCAGCTAGTGTCCTTTCTCGTGGTGGGTAGTGGGGACAAATTAATTGCTAAGAAAAGGAAGGGAGGCTCCACTCCATGCATAGGTACACCACGACACTTCGTTAACAGAGCAAAATCATTTTATGAAATTTCTTGTTCTATTTGACTGTGAATTTACTGTGAAAATATACCAATGACACTTTGAAACTGGTGAATTTTCTTAAACTGCCTTTTAAAATTGCACTTTGAGTAGAAACAGTGTTGTCAAGGGTTTTGGAGACGAACATAGCTGGCGGATCAATCGATATTCATTTAGAGAAGACCACGATCCGGATGAAGAGAGGAAACTTTCAACATGTACAATCCAGTCCATTTATAACGGCCTCTGTTGTTACAGGAATTTAGATATAACAGTGATAATTCATATCCCCTTTTTTTTCTTTTTTAGTGTAAGTAATATGAACCTGGCTATTATAAGGTTCGATTTGCACTGACTCGGATATAACAGTGATCTTGCAGGGCAAGAACTTGCTTTTGATCCGTCACATTATTAAAATTTGTTTCAAGCAAGACATTTCACCTGTTTGTGTGATCACTTTCCTAAACTCAAACTTCCAAACACATGCAACCCCCCCCCCCCTCCCCCACCCCCCTCCAATAGTTCTGGGGTCACTGATCGATTCTGTCTCAGTGTCAACAAAACAGCCCACTGGAAAAGGGTCTGCGGTAATCAAATATATCTAGTAAGCTGAAGGTGCAATGGTACTGGTAGTTTCCCTTGATAACGGTTATAACTGGACTTGCTTATAACAGGGAAAAACTGCCGGTCCCGTCCGTCCTGTGATCTGAGTTTGACTGTATTTCTCGAAGTTTTTGTTCCCCTACCTACCTAACAGTATTATTCAGTTCTCACAATGCACATAAACCATCAAAATGTTCCAAGAAAAAACCCTGTTTATTTGTTTTTCAATGTACCATAGAGTCTGTCAGCAAAGAGGAGGTTTTTTTTGTGTGCTTATTTCATTTATGCAAGATTCGTTAATCGACTTGAAAGCACATTTTTAAGAGTGGACTGGGTTTATTTTTCATTGATAAAAAGGAATTGTTTTATGTGACTTTTCGAGAAGACTCCTGAAGGAAATTACCACACTGTGGTACCATTTTATTTTCCAAACTATTCGATGTGACACATTGTTTGAATTTAATCTGTTTTATTTGTTTTGTTTTGTTTTGTTTATTTGCAGGACTTTGGGAGGAGACAAGCATGGATGTAAGGCTAAAGATAAGGAACAAGAGAGATAGATTTGCAAATTGTTGACATTGAGTGTGTGTGTATGTGTGTGTGTGTGTTTCTGTTTGTATGTGTGCGTGTGTGTATGCGTGTGTGTGCTTGTGTGTATGTGTGTAATATAAGAATGGATGTTATCTAGTGTGGATAGCAGACGAATGCAGAAGATCTCATGTTGATTTGAAGGAACTTGTGGAGGGAGATGTCAGCCTACCGCTAGTGTTGTTCCATCATCAGCTTTTATCTCTCATTTTCTCCCCCCACCCGTGGCCCCCTCTGGGTTCCTCTCTCCTTTACTGTGCTTGTGGCTAAACCTTTGTACAGAAGAATTAGAGTCAAATGATCAGTAGGATGTACATTTGACATCTTATAGTAGGCAACCAGGAATGGCAAATTTGCTCAATTCCTTGACATCCATATTATGGTACAAAGCTAAAATTCATGCATTTTCATGACATACAATGTACGTCATATGGCAGCAATGAAGGAAGGCCTTACTTAAGGGAAGAAACTGGCCTTTTGATAACAAAAAATATTTTACAGTCGTGTTATGTGTTGATCTATTTTGTAAAAACTGTTGACAGTCACAATCCTGATAATCAACATTAATTTATAAAATATAGATTGGAGATATACATGTGGCTATGAGATAGGTGTAAGCTTGAGATGAGTGGACAGGATTTGTGTATGTGATACCTTACCAAACATAGGCTGTGTATGAAACTCTCATGTATGTGTGTTGTAATAGACAGGTATGAATGCGAAATGTGCTTTAAAATGAAATAGAGATATGTGGGAGTGTTGTTGTACTCTTTCCATGTGTATGAAAATGTACTGCTGATAATAGATCTATTCAGAAATACTCTTTCATTTCTTTCTTTTTCTTTCCCTAACGCAAATCGCATTTCACCCATGCTGCCAGACTTCTGTAACAGGCCTGGCAACAGATTTATTTCATCACTTAGTGTAGGATTGCAACATTTTCTGAGGATGATAAAGTTGAATTGTTGTGTTGTGTTGACTTGCAGCTACATGGGATGTATTTCATTTTTTTTTTTCTGTGATGAACTGTGTTTTCACTCACTCACTCAGTCAGTGTCAGGCCTGATTTTTTTTCATTCACAACTTCTCAGTACTGAGTGTGTTTGTGTGGTATTTCCAAACTGCCCTTAGGTTTATCTGATAAATTTTTACGTACTTCCTTTTCTCAAACCTCTGGTACAGTATATTAATATGACATACACAATAAAAATCTTTTGAGCAAATTATTAAAATTGCATTTTGCATTTAGTCTCTTTCCCCCTCTATCACTTTGCTAATGCGTCATTATTGATTAGAAAAATTCTGGATCTAAGTTAGAGATTTATTCTAAAGCCTCTCCTAGTCTTATCCAAGCTCAACTGGTCTTCTTCCAAAGGATGGAAAAATTAACTTTTAGACTTTCGAGGCCATCTGTTGGCCCCTACTGAAGTATGTTTTTTTTTTCTTTTTGCATAAACTGAAAGGAAAATGAATTTTTTCCCCCCTGTTCTCTGTAGTAGAAAATTATTTTGAATACGGTCCAACTTTTAAATGGACACTGAGAAGGCTGAGACAGATTGCTCTGCAGGTAGTGATAGAATTAAGAGAACCATTGATTTTGAAAGTGTACGGCCCGCTTATATCTGTGCTAGTTGTGACAAGGCTGATGCAGGCTTTGCCCACAGGCTGGATAATCGGATTAGAGTAGGCTAAATTGTTACTTGTTCCTCTCTTTTGCAGTTAGTTGTGATCTTTCCTGTCTTATGTTACTGTAGTATGATAACTAAAAAGTGTTCCAGCCAAAGGGAGATTTTCTTGAAATAGACCCCTGCTTTTACAGAAGTCAATCCTCTCTCTCGTCTTACTTTCTCTCTCTTTTTGTTTCTCTCTCACTCTGTGCCCATGTTGGAAAGAACTTGAAATTAACAAAGATCTGTGATGTACATTCTTTTTGCTGGTAATTATGTCATTGTTATTTTCATGTTCATGCACATAATGGTTCATAAAATGAGGGATAGAGGGTATTGATTGTAAAACTTAGATCTTGCGTTTCTGCTTCCTGTATATTTTATGGCCTCTCATGACATGCCGTCCGTAATAAATCTAAGAAAAATGACATTTTGCGTCTGTGTTGATTCATTTATTGCTTGTTTATAAAAACTTATACTTGTCTGGACTGGGTTATGTAAGACTGGCCACATGGCAAGGTTTGTCATAATGAGTTCATGAAAGTGTCTTTTTAAGAGACTTAAGTTTATGCTGCTCTTGGCAAACATGAACAGCAAGGCAGTTTTGCTTTCCTGAGGTCTGCATTTTGAAAATTTTCCTAATTCAGAAATCTGTCACAGAAAAGTTTTATGAACTGTAGTGAAACGAGTAGCTAGATATGTATGCTTAATCTTTATAATTAAAAATTAATCAACATGCTTTCTTGAGAATAACTGATGTACTTCCTTGAAGGAAATAATTGTTAAAACTATTTGGTGAAAAGCTTTAAGCATGGGACCCAGGCTGATCTATAGATAAAATGTGCAAGTTTATCCTGTTTTCAACCTAACACGCATTTTGAATTGGCTCGATATCGTTCCCGAGAACCCAAAATATGGACCCAGATATAACAATCTTGAATGTGTTAATTGCACACAGTTCATTGCATTGCAGAATAAGTTTCCTAATCAGAATCACGGGGTCTAGCTATGTGACACCTGAAAAAGGTCAGTTTAAAAAAAATAAATAGAGGATCTCCAGTCGAGTCGGACTAAAAGGATGTAACATGTTTACTCAAATCTCATTAGGGTCGATGATCACTATTTATGAAATAGCCCAGCACGTTTTTTACAAAGTATTTTGAACATACCCTAATTTAACATAAGACAGGAAATATTATTCTATTATGTGGACTTCATGTTACTATGTCTGTAATGTGCATTGGCTAAATACTCGAAATGAAGTTACATTCCTCTGTTCAAAGGACTGATCAAGGCTTTATTTCGGAGTAAGGAAAAAAAGAAGTCTAGATCCGTTCTTTGAATAATAAATTTCATTTCATTTTGAGCATTTAGTCAATGCACATAGTAACATGAAGTACGCATAGTAGAATCTTTCTTCTTTCTAAGGGCTATTATATTATATATAGTATGACAAGCATAGCTCGAATTCGTCAGGACCGGCATCGGTAGTTCGAGGGATCCGTAGTTCAAACAATATCTTACAAAGACAAAGAAAAAAAAAGAGACCCCAGGAACAGCTACACGTGTTATAGGCCTACTATATACATGTAAATATATACAGATGACTACGGCCTCATGCTCAGGTAGTTTTCTCCTTCAGTTTCATCCATTTCACAAGTCTTTTCTGACTTTATAACTTTATGACCATTGTGAATTATTACTTTTCAAGGAGGGGGGAGGGGGGGGGGCCCATAATGATAATCTGATGACCCATAATGATAATCTGATGTTGTGTAAGACTGTTTTTAACAATCAGGTTTGAAAATAAAAATGTCTTTTTCTGGGACAGGGCAGGGTATGGGACTCAGGGGTGATTTGACAAATTTCATAAAAGTAAAGCATCAGCAAGCAGGTGTGATAATCTATATGTATATATAGGCTTACCTCTTTCAAAAAAATTGCAGGCTATTTAATTAAGTAATTTACCGATTTTGATTTCTAATTGTTACAAAAGTTGAAGATAAGATATGATATAGGCCTAAATCTTTATTGTCCATATGCTGGCACATTGGTTTGGTGTTTCACAACACTGATACATACACACCCAAATAATTTAAAACTCACTATCACATATTAGCCTACATATAAGTTTGAGTAGTGTGTGTGTGTGTGTGTGTGTGTGTGCGCGCGAGCGCGCGCGCATGTGTGTATCTGTTTCTTTCTTCTTTTTTTCTCTCAATTAAAGTTAAAGTTTAGTAGTGTTCACTGAACTTCAAAAGAAGGGGGGGG